GCCCCCAAGCGAAGGGGCTGTAGCTCAACCTCTCGCAAGCGGATCGCGGCTGCAGAGTGAGCCCGGCCCCGGCAGCCAGACGGGACGGGATCGGCGAGGGGGGCCCCGGAAATGCGGCAGGACGAAAAACCACGGCGGGACGAGGCCGGGAATCCGGCAGCTCCGAGCCGGTCCTGCCGCCCCTGCCGGGGAAGCGCACCTCGGGGCCGGGGGGCGTCGACAGCCAGAACTGGGCTCGGCCCCGAGCCCTTCCCGCAGCCCGGTGGGTGAGGCAGGGCAAGAGCCGCTCCCAGCAGGGAGCTGCAGAAGAGCTCTTTTCTCGTTCTGCTGACACGCAGCGCTGCCCGTAGAGCTGGCGGACGGGCAGCGGCGGCCTCGTCGCGGCTCGGAACGTCCTCGGGACACCTCGGAGGGCCGCGCCGGCCGCCCCTGGACGGGTTTTGTCACTTTGTCCCTCCGGGGGCGGCGGGCAGCGGTCCCAGACCGTCCTCGCTCCGGCCGCACCGAGAAACGGATGGCGAGGATCGGAGCCCCGGGAGCGCTGCCCGCCCCCGGCCGGGCTCTCGCCCCCATCCCGGCACACACAGGCGGCGGGTGGCGGGGGAGGGGCGGCTCTGTCAGACGCACACACGCCAGAGACTCCAATTATCTTCTCCCTCACAAGATGTTTCTGCTGTCCACGACTGCTCACACTTCAGCGCTCTTGCCAGCAAGCCTCAATGGTAACACAAAACCCGCACACAACCCCTTCTCCCGACGCCGCAGCCGCGCACACAACAGATTGAGCGGTGCCGGTGCCTCGGGGGGAGGGTTAGAAGTGCCTCCGGGCGGGGAACGGCACGAGGAGCTGCCGGGTCTCCCTCTCGGCCCGGCCCGGCCCGGCCCAAAGCGGACTCCCGAGCCGGGTGCGTCGCGTCGGGCACCGGGAAGCGCCCGAGCCAAAGGCAGCCGCGTTGCCCTTTTCCCTGCACTCCGCTCTCCAAACGTCTGAGCAACCAGTTTGCTGCTAGAAACATGTTAATTGCCAACGGAGCTCATTAAGGCATGCACATGCAAAACACAGCGAGGGAGATTAAATGGACAAAAGCGCAATAATGAACTGTCAACAATCGAACCCATCTACAAGACCAGGAGCACTCAAGAATGAGGCATTTAGAGGCAACAAAGGATTGTCTGGGACAGGAAGAAAGGACGACCTAGACTTTTGTTTAGTCAACACAATTGATTACAAATGAGAGATTAACAGGATAGCTTCAGAGTTTTTTTGAAGGAGGCAGAAGAGAAAAGTCCAATTAAGTGCACCGAATGTTAACTACATTGATTTCCACGGCCAGCCCTAGAGAAATTCTCATTAAACCATCCCTGGCGATCCCTTTTGGAAAGTAATTTGTCTCCCTGATGGAGCAGAGAAAGGGAGCCGTGTAAAGAGAAAGAAGCGCTAGTTCTTGGCACAATGAGCTTAGGAGACACACTGGAAAGAGCCAAAGGGGGAGTTAATGAGCATCTGACAAGCCGCTTGGACCCGGGCCTGGAGAGCAGCGATGAAAAGATGGAATTGGCCAACAACTATTCTTTATATCAAACATAAAAAGGCCAATCTGAAACAGGGCTGCTCAAAGCTGGTGGGGAAGAAAAGAAAGGCCCCCACTGGGGGGTGGAGTGGAGGGCTCAACTGCCCCATCGGGACAGGAAAAAAAAAAAACGCTCTGGCACATCCATGTCCCAGCGAGAGGGGCTGCCCGACCTCGGCACAGCCAGGCTTCGGCACAGCCCGGGCAGACTCGCCACGGCCGAAGCGCTGCTCTCGTAGCCTGGCCGAGCCGGGCACGGTGCGGGATGCTGTCCCGGTCCTTCCGAGGGTGCCGGTATCCCCGAAGCACCCGGGGGCCCCGCGCCTCTTCTCCTCCCGTGTAGACACGGTTCGTTCGGAGGCTCTTAAATCAGATTAGAGCTCGTTAATAACAATTTTGGCTTAAGTCTGTATTGACTTAGGTTTAGGAATGGCTTAGCACTTTCGCTTAAGTCAACACGACGGCTGAATTGACACATGCCTTGCCCAGCCTGCCGATCCCTGCGGGCGCCCAGGTGCCGGCCGAGCTCTGCCCTCCTGCTTTAAGCCGCACGGAGCAGCATTTCTACCATTTTTAAGTAAGACGGCGGAGCTTCGAGAGAGCGACTCCCGCGTGTCAACCACGAGGGTCCTCACCACCTCCCAGGGCACCGCTTTCCCCGACGGCGTGGTCAGAACCCGCTCCTTAACATCTCTCTCTCTCCTCAGATTTGCGCCTCGAGGACTTCAGCTACCCCCCTTTTCTCCGGGGGGAGGGATAGGTAGGCTCTGGAACTCCACAAGCACAGTGCCACGAACACCGCGGCAGTGGGGACAGGCTGGGAGTGACACGCTCACCCCCACGCCCTCTCCCGAGGGCTCCCGACCCGCGTAGCAGATCTCACCCTGCGGCTGGTTTTACCTCGTGTCATTCATCTGCTCGATCTAGTTATTTGGGGTGAAGCCACCCCACAGGCAAAGTACCACCACAGACTCATTTCATAAAGAGAAAAGCCCCTCACTTACCCCCCCTTAGCTGCTGCTGCTATTCGCTCTGATTCTCCAGGTGACCAACCCTGCCTGGGTATTACTCCCATTTGCATGCTTATGGCTCACACGTGCTTAACTGATTTAATCACGGAAAGGTGAACCCAGCACGTGTCCTTAAGTAGGAATAAAAAAAGAGAAACCAAACAGCTGCGATTCCCTCTACTCTCTTCTGCACCTGTGGCTGGGGAAACACGTGTAGGTACTGAGAGAGCGTTCTGTAAGATCTGCTTTGAACTGCTTTACAGCGTGTTTTGTTCTGGGGAAGCCTGATTGTCCCCAGTAAGGATGGGAGCAAAGAAAACGGGCCCGAAGTTCAGAATCAAGCTGATAAATCCCAAACAGCGCAAAACTTTTCCTACAACTACGGCGATTCTGCCGTCTTCTGTGCTCGCCCGACGCTGCGGCAGCGAGAAACGTTCGAAGTGATGCGCGGGCAGGGACTCAGCACCTCGCCGTGCCCGCGCAGGGTCACACGGTCACCCGTGGGGCAGCAACGCAGCCCCGCCTCTGCCGGTCCTTCCCCGAGCCCCATCCCCACCGAGCGGCCCCGGTACCCACATGGGAGGCACAGCCCGGCCCCTAAATCCCACGGAGCGAAGCGCTAACAGCCGCTCGTAAGGACCGAGCCCGCAGTAGCTGAATGTGTCCCAATTGGGAACGTTTGTCGTGTAAAGCAAGCAGGCGTTTTGGATCACACAGAGAGCACCTGAACCCTGCTGCAACCGCGTAACCACGTCCCGTTATCTGTCTCTTACTCCTTCTACCGTCTTCCTCAGTGCTGTCAGTTGCCAAGCTATTGCACATAAATAGAAGCTTTCTGATTTATAACCAGCCTCTTCCTTCTGATTCATTACGTTAATGAATTGAGATGTTACCAACATTGGATTAGCGCATAAATGAATGAATCCAGCAAAAGAAAGCTGATTATGGAGGGAAAAGCCAATCGTGCCCGTAAACTAAATAAAAAGGAACGCCCGAGCAATGGGGTAAAGCAGCTGAAGTTGTTTCAGCTCACCCCAAACACTGCTCACAGCAGACGGGGGGCTGACATCGTCTGTTCCCATGCAAAGCTCTCCTTTGCAGATTTGCGGACGTGGCTCCCACCGTCACGGCTCTCACTACGGCTGTTACCGGGATCACAGCAGCCGCCCCGAGCCGCCTCGGGGATGCCGGCGCCGCAGCCCACGCTTCGGGCACGCTTTGCGGCGCGCTGCTCCGCCGGTGCGCAGCCCGAGTGCCCCGCTACGACGCAACGCGCCCGTCCGTGCTCCAGGTTGGGCTTTCTACCCATTTCAAACTGGAAAACGGCAGAGGAATGCTATTTCTCTCCTCTCTTTTCTTTCTTTTCTAAGCTTGGGCTTCCCGCACCCCTAGCAGCTCCGTGCCCAGCGATGTGGGCACCCCGCGCACACCGGGACGAAGCTGCGGGTGCAGGGCTGCCACGGCGCCGTCCTCCGGAGCTTCTGTTAAGCAAGTTAGAGCACCAGCCACGAAGCTTCTGGGGACGCACACAAACTAAACGGGTAAAGAAACACAAGGCTGGAAACCGAAACGACGTTTCCAGCCCCTCTGTGAGGCAGGTACTAATTACTGCCGCTTCCAGCTAGGCATTAGGCAAGGAGACTGCAATTTACTAAAGGACACCGAATTTTTCCTTTTATTAATTTGCAATATATTTGTAAAATAATCTTACGGCAGCTGGCTCTGCTTGAATCTGTTTCAAAAGTGTGATGTAAATACCGTCTCACACTATTCTGCAGCCTATTAGGGCTTGCTGGTAGGTGATACGACTGAGAGGAGAAAGAACACCACACATTTATTTTTAAGATCATCATCACTAGTGATAAAACTTATGGGAAGAAGCGATCATACTTCCTATTTGTATGCAGCAATGACAAACGTATGCAAAGTAACTCAAATGAAAAAGATGCAATTGCAGGGATACATATGCACACGCACAGTGGACAGGCATTTTTAAGAGCCATTTCAGCTATGTTTAAAAGCAGCAGCAAATTCCCAAGTTAAACCACGCTATTTACTGCAGGGGAACCTACAAAACTTATTTTTTCCACCTATTCCCTTTGTAAGAGCTTAAAATTTATTCACATCTTGCAAATAATCACATATTTGATTAAGCACATGCTTACTGTGAAGCAATAGAGAGCATAAATAACCTACCCTGGATTTATTACATTTTGACTTTTCATCAACAAACTTCTGAGATTCTAATCTTCATTCAGCAGATAAACATTTCTGATGGGTCTCAAAGGAAAATGAAGGATAATAAGCAGCACACCTAAGCAAAGCATCCATCACCTGCAGACTCAGTGCACATCAGCTACAGCAGGCACCGACTTACACACGGTTTGTCCATGCGATACAACACCAAAATCCACCAGGCTGTGAATACAAGATGAAAGCTTTATTTAAACTGTATCATATTGTATCAGTGGATTATAATCCTCAAGGAAACAGAATATTGCAGTAATGACGATTTGAGCATTACAAATATGTTAAAACAGCTTGCATTTGGGGTGATATTTAAGGTCAAGTTGTATCTGAACACAACTATTAAAATATTATGAAACTTAACATTATGGAGTAAGTAATGTTTTCTTTCAGACATAACCCTCTAAAACTGCATTCCATTTTTTTCCCCTTATTTTTCACTATCAGCAAGCTCAAAGTGAGCACCTATAACCCTGGCTGCACAACGTGAATGAAATAGAGAGGTGGAATTATCAGCTCTGCCTAGAGCCTGGCTCCCAACTTCTATGAACACGTGACCTGCAGAAATATAACCGAGAGGAACCACAGCGACAAGCATCATGTATCCAAGCCCTTCTGTTATCTCATATACACCCTCAAATGAAACCAATAAGCTTGAGAAGGACTCAGTGGAATAAGAAACTTCCTATCCCAGGGAAAACTTACATGCTCTCTGCTACTGCCCCTACTGCCAGAATGGCTGAGACAATGAAATCCTTGGGAATGTGAGGATAAAGGTGACAAAATGGGTGAGCAGGCTGTGCTTCTAGGCTAGTCCTGTGCTTACTCATCCATCCACAAACCCCCAAAATTGTTTCTTCTTATAAGATTCTTGATCATTAACTTACAAACAGGCAAAACCATTTGTTTTTTCTCCTGCTTTTCTCTCCCTTGTGTTCTCTGACCCACTGGGAAAGCAGCAGAAGCAAGAAGCAGGACCACTGTAGCTTATGCATACATATGCTTTAGCACAAAGGGGCAAGCAGCACATCAAGAATGCAGAGTAACAGGTTACTTTCAGAGTAAAAAAAGCCCTTTACCCCAGAACAGATAAAAAGCCTGGGATGAGACAGTGGGATGACTACACTGAATTCATCTTCTTGAAGCATTGGCATTGAGACAGAAGAATACTCACTCATTCAAGATCTCATTTAATGCCAGTATTAAATCATGGCAGTATAGATCAATGTATAGTTTTTGTTTTGGTTTTTATCTAAATACACTTAAGCTATTACAGGAGTGCTTTCCCAATGTGGATCTACCCAAAGGCAGGTGGCAAGCCAGCTCAGCCACACAGAAATGGCACCAGGTATAACAAGAGATACCATAATGTCATGTGCTCTGCCACTGCTTGCCCCAAGCTCTGTGACACATCAGGACACACCTGCCTTCTACCCTAGCAGCCCTGCTACGTGCCTCCTTGCACCTATTGCTTTGCTGTTTAGCTCATACACGACTGCATTTCCACCTTCCAGACCACAGGCCAACAAAAAGGCCCCTGTCAGCCAGAGAAGATGCCTACACACATTCCTACTTTAAAAGTTTCCTCTCTATTTTTATTCTAATCAATTTTCTGGACCTGTTCCTATATAACATTCTATCTGCTAGCTGTCCTGAAGCTACAGCACAGAAAAAAATGTAATTTCCTTTTCTGAAAAGATGACAAATTTTAATGTTCACCTCTCAGCCTGATAAAAGACGGGGAAAAAAAAATCAGAAAGACAGCATCCAAGTATCTAATGAAGTATCTAATAATACCTGACAGTTCAAACTATGTTTGTTACCAAGGGAATTGCTTTTGTCTTTATTTTTACAGCAGTTAAACAACGGCACAGAGCCCTTTTCTCTCCGGCTGCTCTTTCCTCACAGCACACGCTGCCTGCCTTCCACCAGAAACCAAAAGCAGCAAGGAAATGGTGAGCATCTGCATTGTGTCCCAGCGTTTAGGCGGAGTCCAAAGAGATAAAGACCCAGATTATTCACACGTATAAAGTTCTTAGGGGCCCAGATTTTAGTTTAAGCGATTTCCCTTTCCATGCAAACACCGGGATGAGCCCTAGCCTTTGTTAGCAACAGCTCGCCCACCCCTTTTGTGGGAGAGGGGCACTGCATGTAATTGCTTTTCCCCTCCTGTATGTTCAACTGATTCCAATTATTTGCGTTTTTAAATTGGAGCTCAATGATTCGAAGATCCACACACATTCCCACCAAATCAGACTGAGAACCACGTTGAGATCTCACAGAAGAAAATATTACCAAGTTGTCTTTGTGACAGAACACTGAGTAGGTATAAAATTGCAATGGTCTCTCTGCCAGGTTTTTTTAAGCTCTCTGCTAGTAAGATGAAAGCCTAATTTGATATTTTTGTAGTTATATAACAGTTCTAATATTTTGTGACATTTTGTATTGTGACACTATAGATGAAATTGTCATCGGACTGACACCCTTTACTGTTTATTCCTTAATTACAACTGTTAACAACACTGCAGAGAAGCGTGCTAATCTGCCATCACATATTATGAAAACAACGTTATTGTTACAAACACCAACACCCACTCAACAGGATATTTCTAAGATGGCAGTTTCTGTAAAAACTTATCAGTTTAATGGACACTTTAAAAGAAAAAGTTTTAAATGAACTCCTAGCATTCCCACTGAAAATATACAACATCTTCAAAACTGAAGTTTTACTCTTTTTTTTTTTCCTCCTGTGTGCAAATGATACTTCGACTAATTGAAATCCAGACAAAACTGACTGCCTAATTTCAGGAAGGAGCACTCATGGATACTGGTCCTTCAGGTTCAGCCAGGCTTCCTAGAGCTCCCAGCCAGAAGTCCATTCTCTAGTTCAGACTGAACTACAAACTCCCCACCAACAGCTCATCAACCTGTGAATATCTGAGCTATGTTTAATGGACAGAACACGTGTTCTTCAGTCCACAGGTCTGAGCCAATTCACGTATTTATCAATAATGCTGCTAGAAACCGAGTTTCAATAAAAGTACTTCCCTAGTCTAGCACAAAAAATATTTGTATCTCTAAGTAACACGGAGATGCATTGATCAGTTCATTAACAGATCAGCAAAAATTAGTAATTACAATTTTTCCAAATCCCCAGGCTCTGGCAGAAGTCAACTTCTTTTATTCCTGTTTCAGATCAGGGGCTGTTGTTGTCCCAGTCAGAAGAACATTGCAGCATATAAGATTAAATTTTAGCAATATATCGACTCCAGCCCAGGTTCTCCCTTCCTTTCTTTAAAGCATCCTTCACATAGGAAGGGTGAAATTTCTTCAGGCCAAGTCACAAATCTAGAAGCCTTTTCCAATGAACTCTGAAAGAAGATGTGGAGGAACAGCTCAGTGGCTGAGAAAGAATCTCTGCAGCTTCTGTGTGTTTGGTTGTATGACAGCTGCTGCAGGCAACCTTCCTGCTTGCTCCTATCAAACTCCTCATGCTTAAGTTAAAGATCTCACTTATAGGATGCCACCATAAAGAAAATAGCATTAAGCCTAGGAGCAGCAGAAAGTTCCTAAGGATTTGTTTGTATTTTCTTGTCTTTACTCACACGTTAGATAGCACGAGGCTGGGAAAAGCAGCAGCAGTTAAAGGAGAGAGGTGCAGAAGCAATAGAAGTGGCAATGCCAAAAACAACAACAATCAGGGAAAGCAAGATATGCAAATTCAAGGTGTTCTCCCCACATCCGCTATCATGAATGTTTCCACACAGATCACTGCTGCTGAATCAGGACTGATGCAAAGTGCCTGCCCTTCCCACTAATGGCAAATTCTTCCTTTCTGCTTCATCCACAGACATCCATGCAACAGAGATGAATACAGTGTAGAAAGATTATGTATGAATATACCTTTAGTTATCACACTTACACAGAAAAGCAGAGGATTGCAAATAACCTAAGACTCTTCTTATATTGAAGCAGTGATCACCTTGGTGGGTGATTTGACTTTTGGTCCAAAAAGCCCCCTTCAGCAGCACTGCTTCTCTCATTGTGAGGAATTCTAGTTTAAGCTCTCCAAAAGCAGACGCCACCATTCAAACTGAAGTTTTACACGCGGAGACAACAGAAACAAATTACCCAGTACAGTTCATTTTCATCTCAAACAATTTACATTACCATTTAATGGCATAATATTACATTCTATAACCTGGATGATATTGTCTGCTCAAACCAGAGTTACAAAACAAAATCAGAGTATTTGTTTTTGTGAATCTTCTTCTGGGTAGCTTATGTTGTTCTGCTTTGTAGTTTTCAGTTTCTTAAAACCAATGGGATATTCTGCTCTTCCTAAAAGAAACTCTTCCCAATTGGGAAGAGAGTCTTTTACTGAAGCCCAATAGAGAGTCTGAGAAAGACATAAAAAAAAAAAAAAATCAACTTTATTTCAAAATCTGCATCAGCATGTTTACAAACAATAGATATATGCAATGGATTTTCAAATCTTGCCTTATGAGTGAAGCAGTTCAGGAAAGAATAATGTACTTGCACACAAAGTTATCAATCTCTCATACGACGCAAAACACCAGACTGGAAGGATTTCATCTTGTGGCATGAACTGTGAAGTGACTGAATCTGCCCTCTTGTGGTAAGCACAGATTAATTCAGACCCTCAGCGTGCCTTCAATAAAATACCTTCTGTGATTCTAAGCTTCTCCAAAAGCAGCTTTTGTATTTAAATACATGCATTAGTTGCATTTAAATTTGAAATAAAAAAAAATAATCTGCTTAATGCTATAAACAGGAAGTGCTATGTAAGCTGCTTTCCTTAGAAAAGTTTGCAGCAATGCAGCTCAAACTATTTGAGTAAAATTTCAGCTGTGATAAATCAGTGGCACAGTAATTGGCTCCAGGATTTGCATCACGAAAGGAAAAGGCCATCTAGTCATCTCGTGGTCAGAAAACAACACTGGGTTATCTAACTCTGTGCGTTACTCAGTGCCTCTGACTAAGAAACCTGACTTCCATTCTACTGCTAGGACGGACATACTGACCGTATTTTGGTGCTAGCACTCAGGAGAACTGTGCTTCTTCTAGAACTTTGAAGAAGAAATGCTTAGTGACGCCTCTTCTTTTTTCTCCACAAGATAATGTGATCAAGAGCCAGATGAAACTTACACATCCAATTCTCTAAGGTAAGTGGAGGTATTTTGAGATACCTATGTTCATTCAGTAAAAAGTAATTTTGTAGCAGAAAACATGTACGGTGCCATATGCATTTTGTTTCCTCTACTTGTTTAAATATATAACGTTCACTTTATAGTACTCTTCTACATCTTTCTACAGAGTATTAGATTCCTGGCTAATCATCCTGATCCTTACATGTAACTCAGATATAACTACAGCTCTTGCAGATTTACAAAAATATTTTCTTCAACAGATTTACTCAAAGAATCTTTTTTGACAAGCATATGTGCTGTCACACAAAACTACTCTGACTTAGCAAGCTGGGGATCCATTACAGCCATAACTTTCAAAGTATATTAATACAGACACATATATGGCTGAGTGAAATATGCTCAGAAGTGTTTTGGAGCAGAGCACACACCAGAATTTTGTACCATGAAAAAGTTTTCTTTTTCTACTATTTATAGCACTCTTCTTTAGAAGTACAAAAAAGGCTGAAATAGGATCTTCTGCTTCAAATAGTAACATCGTTTTCTCAAAAATTCTACCACTATACCACTATGCTAAAGAGCACAAAGATCCCTGCAGCTATCAGCTCTGTGCTCTCAGTACATGTGGACTTCAGTCTACATCCCATAAGCAGCTTAAGCACCTAATACAGGACAAAGACAGAAGCTGAACTCCTAGTCCAAAACTGATCCAAACAACTCTTCAGGTGCCTTGAAGTCCTCTAAGAGTCTAAAACTCTACATCTGAGCACAGTCAGATCGGGCTCAACCAAGTACTTTGGCATTCAGTGTCATTCAAGACATACAGGTATCCAGGAAGAACATTTGATTTTTCCTAAAAATTTCTTAAAACCCCACTAAAAGGGCATTCTGAGAATGTACCTTGTCACAGCCGTGGGAGTCAGCCATTTATGAACTAGAAAGGCAGACAACATCTTTTAACAGTAACTAAACCAAGGAATGATGTTTCTCATTTAAGTAGCAGCCTAAGTATTACAACACTTGCCCAGCAGGTGTGAAATCAACATACAATACACCTCACCATCAGATGAAAACATTACAGTTCGTACCTTTCCTCTCCTTTGACAGCACACAGAATCGTGTGGGACATGCTATGTTTGTGGAAAATAACTCACTGCATAATGATGAACCCACAAATCACTGGTGCAAGAAACACACGCAGGACTATGATTTGGTGTCCCTGTGGTTAGATGTTTAGTTTCTATCAGGAATAAGCTGTGTTCCTACTTCTGCTCCTAAGAGTGCTCCTGTCCTCCTTACTCATTCATCGCAGCGCAATACTGAGAAAACGGTCTTGAGATTAGAGAACTGAAACTGGTGTGTTTTATCAGAACAACATTTTGTTCTCAGAGTAGCAACTTCCTCAAAATTGCCATCTTTAAATAATGCTTCAGGGACTATGAGTGAGAAGAAAAATCCCAGGTTTAGCACTACTTCTCCTGGGATCCTGTACGACCTGATAAAATAACTGTGAGAAGTGAAACCTTCTCTGTTCAAGTTGATAAACTGTTGACTCTGAAATGTAAGGATGACAACCTGCAGCACACTGAAAACAGGATGTCTGTGTAAAACAAAGCAGCTCTGACATAACAGTCACAGTAGTCATTGTAAAAATTGAATTTTGTCAATATCATCCATTTTCATTTTTAAATACAAGTATGTAAAGACCTGAAAGCTACAAAACATTTCCACCAGAATGCTCCAGAATCTAGGGACCTTGCCCTAGAAGTTAGGTTCAGCTTGCTGCACAGCACACAGGCCTTTGGCTATACCAGTCACTGGATTTTAAAATCAATTATTTTCACTTTAAGAACATGCTTGGGGGGGATGGGGAGCAAAATATTTGGTAAACAGCAACAAAAAGACAGAGTTCTAGGACTTACTTCTAGCTTAACAGTATCGGGATGTGGAAGTAAATACATTCTTTCTTGCAGCTTTTTTTCTGCTGCTTCTATGTCCTAAAACACAGGCAAAGCACATTTTAAAAACACAGTGGGAATATTAAAAGGAAAATATACTCATATAAAGACATTTAGATTAATTAAGCTAACTCATTAAACTTAAACAGTACTCAAATAACAACACTGGAGGTTCAAAACTTTCTCTGCAGCCATTCTGGAATCTAACTTGTAAGATTAGGAACCGACAGTTTCTAAATGCTTACTGTAACTTTCTGATAAAAGAACAAATGTTTTACCACATAGGTTTGTTGCTGTGAAGCACTGCTGTTCTGTCTGAACGCTAAAGTAAATTACAATTAAATTCCATTCTCTATGATTTACAGCAATGTAGAATAGAATGGTTTGTTCTGTGCTGCATGAAAACTGAAGTATGTATTCTAGCTACTGTAACTGTAAAGTAACTAGGCAAATTATGTGCAAGATCTTTACTTCTCAAGACAAAGATGACTTGCTAATATGCATGCATAACATGTGCACAAAAATGTAGAGCTGCAGCAAGCTGTTCACCAGACAAACTTGGATGACAATGCACCTCACATAGCTTTCTTATAAAAATCAGTATTTGGGTTTCTGCTTGCCCAGTGGATGTGTGCTGGATTCACAAAGGCCTAAATAAATTTTAAAAACAGAAACAGCAGTGACAAACAAATAAAACCCATCACCCCAAATTAGCCCCCTTCCCCCTTAAAGTTCTGACCCATTCTTGTGGGCTTAGTTCCATACCCAAACATTGAAGAGATTGAGTGGTGGGCAGATGAAGAGAGACAGAAAGGGACGTGGGAGTGGGGTGTGAAGAAGCCAAAGCTGAACAGAGTGGAGGGGGAAAGAAAGTGTAGCAGATGGCAGAGTTGGGAGCAGAGAGCGGGTGTGAAGAGTACAACAGAAAAACTAAATGAGAGAGGAAATTCCCCAAAGGGACTTCCCAAATATTCACCACCACTGCTGCTGAAAAGAAGAGTGTGATTCTGGAGAAGCATATCCTCAAGAGAGACCAAACATGATTACTCGTGTTGAATAATAGCCAATACGAATACATCAAAAATAAACAGTGCTCAACTTCAGTTTAGTTTGAGAAACATGGCTCAAATTCAGCTGGTATGGTTAATAAAAACAGAAACCTGTTAGCTCAGGTTCAACTTAGTAACACACTCAGTTCATTCACTCTACAGTGTTCATCTTATTCTATTTCATTAAACCCTTTTACACCATGACTAAATTCTCTTGCACATTCTTAGAAATCTAAGTAAAAGTCCCCTTTCGTACAGGGGAGTTTACAACCTTGGAGAAGCTAAGGGACATTTAAGAACAAACTTAGATCTTGGATTTATCCAAATCCCAGAAGCAGCAAGTGGCTGCCTCTTGTCAGGTGAGAAAAGAGAATAAACATACACAGGGAACGTAAGCGAAACCAGAAGCCACCTGAAGTCACAATGTCAATAAAAACAATAGAAGACATAAAAGAATTCACTAAACTAAGTATGGACTTTGTTGCATGTGCTTAGAACAGACAGACCATCAATCACACTGAACGAAGCTCATCTCAGTATGGCTCTGATGAAGGCTGGAGAAGATATCACCACATCCAGAAGAACTATCAAGCACTAAAGTCTGTTTCATGTTCTCCCACAGGATTTCTGCCCTTCCTAAAGGAATTTTCACAGGAAGGAAGAGCATCAAAAAATAATTTCTTTAGCTATTCAGTTAAGGGCATCAGAATGTTTATGGTCATTGGAAATTTATGTATTCCAAGCAAAAAAAGGAGAGAGCAGTTGTGCATATATGTTTAGTGGAGAAGGTCACTTTGGCATAGCCTAGATATTGGATGTGTCTTTTTGTTGCTCACTCGAGTTTGTGTTGTGCAGTCTATTGTCAGAATACTGATTTAATGACAGACAGTGAACAAAATTTTTGCTGGAAGGTGTAGTATGCTTTAGAAAAATAACTAAGATTAGATGGCATTTCTTTCATGTCTATGCAACCAGTGAACTTTGCAGGGAAGAGGAATCTCCATCTTCAATTATAAATAAATACATTGGTGTAAGTTTCTTTGGAAAAAAAAATAGCAACAAATTTAATATGTCACAATATAGAGAGAAAAAAAAAAAAAAAAAAGAGAGCATCTTGCAGCACTTTCCCCTGAAACTACAAGGTCTGGAACAAAAACAATTCAAGACCCTTCCCCAGAGGTAAAATGGAATGCATGACAAACACATCGCTGTTAGGGGACCAAATTCAACTGTCACTTATATTGATAAGAGCCTGGCAGAATCCCACCTCAGTAATTCTGCAATTACATGCCCGTACAGGAAATCAAACTCAGTCTAAATTACTTACATAGTCAGTACTAAAAATCAAAGAGCATATTCCCTATTTTCTATTTCACGATATAAGATGCTGCACCAAAATAACAACAGAACTGATAAACCAGAAATGTTACTGACAAACAAGTCTCATAAATTAGATTGTAAATACTGGTCTAATTTCTGCTTTTGTTATGAAAACATTATATAAGCACCAGATGATACAGATTTCTCTAATCTGCAGTATCCCTCTAAAGACATTAAGTGAAATACTCTGACAATTATGTTAAAATGCTGCACAAGTGCTTATAATGCTAAAATTTCAATTAAAAAAAGATGTTTAGTTCCCTGCTTCCTGCTGATTAGAAAATAAATTGATCTTGAAATGCTTTCCTGTGCATAAATATCAACTAGCACTGAGAAAGAAAAATGTCTCTTCCTATGATCACATATTGAAAACTGATTTTGCTTACATGCAGAAAAACAGAAATGCAAATAAAAATATAACACTTCATCATGTCCGTGTATTTTTTAGTAGGCCAAATCAACAACTCTCCACATGGTAACTGTGAAATGTACAGTGCCTGGTATCAGGAACAATATTCTGAAGCTGGCACATTAATCAGTCTTGTTTTCAAGCGTCTCATGTATTACTCTGCAGAGATTTTTTTGTTCTTTTCTATTCTGTTATCAGAAAGCATCTGCAGGAGTGCACGTCTGTTAAAATCAGTATAAAATAAATAGATTTAAACTGATTTATGCTACTTTATCCCGCCACAGAATTTGTTTTGATACATATGTTTTTGCTTTTTTTTTTTTTTTGTACAAACACCAACATTTTTGACACTTGAAAGGAACAATTTTGAGGATGTGACAGAAGATGGCAAATATCTGTGTAGCTGCAAAAATATTTACACTCTGTATATGTCTAAGTTATTGTTAACATTTCCAATACAAGTTTTCAGAAAATATATCCTGCATTTCTTATGCTTGCCTGTGTACATTAGCTGAGAATGCACTGGTAAAATAAAGATCATTTATAAAAAAAAGACAACTAGCAATATGAAAAATAGATCTACGGTAATTATAAAATGGGAGTCGTAACATGAAATTACTAAAGCAGAGGAAAATGAACTATGATGCAAGAAAATAAACAACTCATCCCTTTCTATCAACCTCACACTGAAGCACCTACATAGTCCATGCCCACTGCAGAGGCATTTGATTGCCCCAGCCCAGCATGCAGCAGCTGACTGGAGTCTGAGTTGAAGTCCTCCCTCATCACACAGTATTTAAGAAGGCATCACACATTAACTGTTCTGCCTTATCTGCCACTCCCTAAATATAGCTTCCATTAAAATTCAAAGAGAGCTTGCTTCAGAATCATACCCACCTAAAATGCGAATGTTTTTAAACCTTGATCAGGTTCTGCATGAAGAAGCAAAAAAACATTTGATGGTAAAATAAAACTTTTAATTTTCTAGAGTAAAACTTACAATTTCAAAAGATTCAATACACACTATATGGGATCTTAATAACTAAGAGTTGAAGAAAATGCCTGTGAGAAGCAGATGACCATTTTTCAAATGCATGCTCATGTCAGTGGTCAAGTGCCATCTCTTCAAACTCAGACGCCTAAGCTAAAGCTCAATTAGAAATTCTAGCATTCTAGACCCCAACATCAAACTCAGATCTTCATTTCCAGTTCTCAAACATCCACTTAACTAACCTAGAAAACATAAACTGTACCCAAACATGACAACAGATATATAGAACAGCTATTAACATTAACAGTATCACCACTGAGAAGAACCAGAAAGACCAAGCATTGATTTTACAATACTTGCAAGTAATATTCTTGAAGTCATTCTACCTCTCCTTAAAGAAAAATAACTGAGGACTTCTTCCGTAATTTCACACAATCACAGCTGGACAACAGTTCCTACCCTGGACTAAAAGCATCTTGACCTGGGCAGCACCCATTTCCAAACATACTCCCAACTCTTGAATCAAAGTGTTAAGGTCTTGGAGTCTAGTTACACTGAGGCTGTCTTAGGCAGAATGTAATAGCACGTGTTGCATCTCTGCAAATACTTCAGAAAAAAAAAAAAAAGAGAGACAGCAGCTGCCACCACAAGGCTCAAATAAGAAGGGCATGTAAAATAGGTAGTAGTGCCATCCGATAATAGAGACTTGCCATTTGATACTTTTGGTCAAGTTCCAGAAGAGAAAAGAGAATATAGGAGAACTCCAGTGATAGCAACAGAGCAAACATTTTTTTTAAAATTATCTTAGCTGCATAATCATGACATTTCAACTCAGTTCCTGGTAGTTGCAGAAACTTACATTTAAAAGTGCTGCATTCCTTCTACGAGCTGCATCAGCTGCTTGAGTTTGCCATGTCTTTTTAGTCTTTTTGTCTCCTAGATAAGTCTCCATCTGCTGTAGCAGCGCTGATCTCTGAGACAGTCTACAAAGGAAAACATTTTGCTAAGTGGGTAGAACATTTTGCTCAGGAGCTAGAAAATAACCTTTTTACCTTACCCAGTTTTCTCAAAACCATGGGGCTAATTAAGCCCGCTGTAGGGTGGGTGTGCTGGGGGAGGGAAAAGGTACAGGCAGACACCACCTGCTGTGCTTGTACGAAGCTATAATATTGCAACCAACAGTCCTCATATGCTAAGGTGCTTAGAAGCACTGAATTTCCCAGAAGAGGAAAGACAGGGTGGGCTGGGGTGACTTGATCAGTACTACTCCTGTGCACCGGCAAGTTGTTATAACTAGCTGTTATAAGAAAAGCAGAGTTTCCTGACTATTACTGTATTTGCTTCACAACCTTAGTTTAAGGGGTGAAAAAGATGCAGCTCAATAACTGAGGCACAGAGTGACAATGCAAATACCTTTCCCACAGAGGAGCTCAGTGGTGACAGGAGGTTAACAATGGAGATCTTAAACCAGTACCATCATCACAAGTCAAAAAACCTCATCAGTCTAAATACTCTCACCAGCAATGACACTAATTCCAGCAGTTCATGAAGGAAGAGTGCCACCTCCTGGATCACTGGCCCCTCAGTAAAATACTACCGTGCTCTCTAAAGGTCTGATTAAGTGTTCAAAGGATGGAAACGCGAGACCCCTCTGGACCACAGCACAAACTGCTGTGGGGCAGGCCCAGCCACTGAGGAAGTCACTTACATCTCCTCGTGTCTCCTAGCCAGATGAACTTCCTGAGCCAAATAGGACGACATCTTCTGTTGCTTGTCCAGGTTTTGTCACTGTCTTAAAGCAAAACCAAGTGAAATTAGAGTCCTCCAAAGGCATGCACAAACACTTGCTTTTCAGTAGCAAAACATTCCAAGGTAACAGTTGCATGCATTATATTTATATAATTTATCAGCCACGTAAATAAAACTCGCTTATAAATTTTAATAGCATAAGACATTGTTACATTGTGGTTTGAACACAAACACATGCACCACGAGTGTCCACCATACACATTAGGAAAACCTTATTGAATTCTAACATTTCTACTTGGGAACTAAAATTTGACTTCCAACCTTCAGATTTCATAAAGCTTTCTCAAACGTCACCTGCTTACAGCCACCACACACAAAGGCCCTCAGAGGTCCCCTCCAACTCTAAGGATTCTATGACTCTGTCATGTGCTCACATAGTTTGTGTATCACTGTTCACAGCAGTGATTTCGGGCTTCATGGTGATACTATGAGTACAAAGTTGCAATTGGAGTTCACACTACGCCTCAAAGTGCCTCCTGTGAAATATCACAGAATGAAAGGGACCTGGGAGGACCATCGATTCCAAACCCCTTCCTAAAGCAGGTTCCCTACATGAGGTTGCAGATACACAGGTAAATACAGGCATGATTTAACAACTGAAGTCAGTGAACCAGCTTAAATTTCGGGCCCTTGAAAGAATTAGCTCTTCAGTAAAGTAACAGAAGATATCTGAACAGGGGGTTACGTGCACACCTTGATGGCTCTGGGGTTCTTTTAGCTGTGGTGGGATCAGGTGCCCACTGCCCACATTGCGGCTCCCAGCACTACTCAGAAGCTTGGAGGCGTTTTGCCGTCAATTAATCCTTTCCACCTCAGAAGCGCATTACTGTCCCAGAAATCAGCCTCAACACCATAAACCGTCACATGAAAGGCGGGAGAAATAAAACGCCAGGCAGTCAGAACACCTATGAGGGCACGTCCGAGACCACTCCTAACTCTGAAGCAGGACACACGTGACTTCGGCACAAACTGAAGTGTTCTACCTCACCCAGCAGACTCCCCGCCCTTCCGCTCTGTTTCCAGCGCTTCCCTTTCCCCTCAGGAGGTCCCCATCACCTCCATGCTCTCTTCCTAAAAAACCTAGTTTACCTTCAGCCTTTGCAGCTTGCAAAAGCAAAGCCACCTCTCACCGTGGCCTCCGCGACGCCGCCGCCACCCCCCTGCTGGCTGCCATGGAGACGGCCGGAAGGGCGGGGCTTACCCACCAGCTCGCTATGGCCGCGTCGCGCCTCCGCGCTCAGGCCTGCCCCCTCAGCTGTGATTGGAGGGATGGGAGGAAGCAAGAGCCAATCAGAACCGGGGGCGGGCAGAGGGGCGTCTCGCGCAGTGACCGTTACCCCTCAGAAGGCGTGGAGGCGCCTCAGGGTGTGGCTGTGTGGGAGTTTCTGCTGCGCGTTTGGCGATGGTTTGGGCTTTGCGTTCTAAGCCTCTGAGCGCTACTGAGGCTGATTCCTTCAGACTTCCGTTAAAACACATTTCTTTAAGAGGCACAATTAACCCACTTTTTGTGTTTCGTCCTTGCAGAAAACACGAGCCAGGAAACTGTACATCAAATACCATATGGCTGTTCAATACAACTCCCATTTTCTTCATTTTTTTTCCCACTGTTGTCTGACAAATTTAAGCGCACTGACGGTGCAGGTGGTTTCTAAAAGAGTTCATTTTCCCAATGCAAACATTCTCTTTTTCTGTTAGGAGACTTCAGCAGGAACCTGTCCCACTGCTGATCAGGTTTTCCTTGTGATTCCTCAGTTCCTTCTCTTTTCCCTCCTTACTACAGCATGCGGGATAAATAGTCCATAAAATCTTCAATTTACTTGGAACGCCATTTCCACGTTCTACTGAGTTACACCAGTTGTCCTTAATGGCAGCAATCTCTCCCTTTTTATTTTTTTTGGTAGCATGGTAGCATTTGATGAATTCCATAAAGAGTGGGCACAAATTGAACTTTGTCGTATGTAAACCACTGCATATGTCATTTGTAGACAGAAAGCAAAGAACAAGAACGTTTTTGTTAAGCTGCAGGTACTGTCAGTTGTTCAGTGTTGTGGGAGCAGAGGATGGAAAACGTAACTTCTTAATGACCTCTTTATATGACAGTGGGGTGGAACAATATGTCAATAGCTAATGAGCTATAAACTATGGTTTTGTTTTGTTTTGTTTTGCTTTTCATCAGAAATATAGCCTAACCTAGTTTAGTTCCCAACTTGTCAAGAACACAAGTTCTAAACTTCCTTTAAAAAAGAAATCTGGCACTAACAGTCAAAAATCCCCATAGCAGGCTGCTTTGAATAGCTGGTTCCTTGTATTGCAAGGCAGCCACAGTGAAAGCCTCGAAGGGCATTGCAGAAATGGGGATTTATGAATGGGGTGGACTTACATGACGAAAGACATTCTCTTGGTGGTTGGCAACCCTGCACATAGCAGGGGGGTTGAAACTAGCTGATCATTGTGGTCCTTTTCAACCCAGGCCTGTCTATGATTCTATGATTCTTGCAGACCTCAGTGTGCTGGCACCTAACTGAAATGTGCTCTGTAGATTATTATGCTTCCATCCCTCTCCGTTTCCAATTACACAGGGCATTTTACGTAATCTGGTAAATTTCTTTAAATTTCTTTCAGTAAAAATACATTCCGCCCCCCCCCCCAGAAACAGTCATCTCTTCATTAAACGCATCTATCTGAATTTACTGTTGCATCACTAATTAAATAACAACAACAAAAGATCTTAAAAACTAGTTACCTTTATCTGAGGCCCTGAGATCTGATTTTCCTGCCCTGCTGTGCAGATGTCAGAGTGCAGTCTGACATCAGTTTCGCTGTTGCTTGGTTGCAGTCTTTTCAAACAGTGTTATGCATGAGAGCTGTTCTCCGTATAGTCTGTGAGTGACTAAATATGGATTAAGGACACACTGTTAGTACTGAAACTAGGCATTATGACCCTGTGTGTTTTCTTAGCCCACACGCTTCGGTTTTACTCTGAAAATGTAGGGAAAAGGGTTTTCGGAGTGAAATTTGTGAATTGTAACACTAGGTGGCACTTAAACACAGCTAACAAAAGCTCTTAAATCTTGAAACGCACAAAACCAGACAAACACATTCTGCTATAACATGCAGTTAATTACATCCTCAAAATGATGTCTTGGATTGATATTACTAAACAAACATGTATAAAATGTAATTACAGACAAGTGAAATAAATACTGTAGGCTTATAATTGCAAGATGTGGGTTTTTTGCTTGTGATACGCTACACACCTGTGCGTAGTTTATATAGCTAGTATTTTATGTTGTCATTTTTGTTGGCATTTAGAAGGGCATAGTTTAGCTTTATGTGCTTTTATTTACTGGTTCCAATTTGTGCCATATGTCAGTTTAAAAAAAATGAATGTTTTTATGTATTTGGATTTTAAAACTGGAGTATTTCAATAGGAAAGTCGTAAGGAAGGACTTTTTATACAAAACCACTTAAAAAACTACTTTAAAAATGCACACACTTAATTTTTTTTTATGACTGCTTTGCTTTCCTCTTCTTTCTTTGCTTGTATCTCTATTGCTATAACAGTTTAACAGCTACTTGAAGGTCCCAAGTGTATCTGCACATAAACATTTCTTATGTGATACTAAGATATTCCAGGCCTATGGAGCAATCTAAGAGCCATGAAATTCCATGAGAGTAGCTTGTGGCCACCACCTTGGGTTTGGCAGGTTTTCCTATCGACAAAGTGGAAGACAGTTGGCAGCATTTCAAGCAACTGCACAACCCCTTTGCTAAGCTACTTGAAGTTACAACAAGCTAAAAAAGCAAAGATGTTCAAGGAAATGTTCTCCTAGCAGGGAGAAAGCTAATAACGCATCCAATGTTAAAAGTTGCATAAACTGCCTTGTAGTTCCTCTCTCTCCTTGTGTTCCAGTATTCAAGGGTTGGTGTCAACCTTACCATTGGCACATCCATGCCGTTCTCTGGTCAGGGTTAGTTAGTTGGCTTCACTGCAGTACTAAGACTTGAGCTGAGAGGAAACTCCTAAGTTGTGAATGGCAGGGCGACTAACATCGTGTTCCAGTACTTGCATTTTGTTATTTGGTAGCTCAATTGATTTCTGATACATAGGATGAAGATAATCAGCCCTCAGCTGAAAATTCATTGATCCATTTGTTTATTTATTTCGTGCTTTTGGTTAAGGTGCTTTTAGGTTCTGGAACTGTATTTCCAGTAGCAGTTGACACAGCTACGAAATATAAAATAGCTTAGGCAATACCTGAGACAGTTTACTGATGTAATTGTCAAGCAGATACCACACGTGTCCTAACAGGTACTTTTCATATTTAGTTTTTATGGTATAGGTTTTTTTTTTTAAAAGATTTCAAGAAAACAGTTTGGTTCTTGAGTAATAACATGAAGGCTTCTCATCAGAAAAAGGGAAATCAACGGGCCTCAACTGACTTTAACAGATGTACAGGTAGTAGAATGTTTTACACGTAATTATAAAAACTATTTACAGTAATTAGCTTGAATTTAATTGCTTCTCAGCATGTTAGGATCATAAATTACAGCTTTATTTCAAACAACTCCTGTTGTCTGTCTAAGCTGAACACAGGGAACCCAATGAAAACAAACACTTGTAGAACCACAATTCTCTGTTCCTATTTGAAGTCTGTTGAATGGGGATGCTTTGCTCACTTGGACCTTGCAGGCAGCACTTCACGACCCACACAGATGACGTTACTTCCCTTAGCACTAAAAGTGTTCTCCTGTGAGCAACAAGACCACCACAAGATTGCCATGGAGCAAGCCAGTGCCTGCTGATGTTCACCTGAATCCAACCCCGTGCAAGCACTGGTTATTTAAACAATTGTCCAACTGCTTCCAGCTGACTGCACTATTTAGTTTTTGTCCCCATTTTTTCGCCATGCAAATCTGAACAAGAGTGCTGTATTTTTTAATTTCAGTTCAGATTTTGAATGCTTTTATTATGAATTTCTTCA